GCTCAGGTCATAATCTCATGGTTCATGGGTTCAAGCCCCACATCTGGTTCTGCAATGACAGTGTGGAGTCTGCTTAGGATTCTCTCTCTGCCCCACCCCTGTTCACACACTCTCTTTCTTTCTCTCAAAATAAATAAATAAACTTTAAAAAAAAAGACCTGAACTTAAATGAGATTTTGAATTATTAGCAATATTCCTCTGACATATAAGTAAACTAGAGTCCAAATATCCTTTTTCTTAAAATGTTAGCTTTTCAAATTTTCACTTGATTGTTGAATAAAGAAAAATAACCAGTATTTTTTTCAAAAGATAGTTACAAATGATAGAAATATCCATTCATATAAGCCATTTCCCCTTGTATACCATTTAGTAGAATACATGTGAAATTCACTCATCTTTCCCTCCTGAATCCAGGCAAAATAAGATTTGGGACAACTTAATTATGATTCCAAGATTATATCTCTCTGTATCTGGCTCAGTCATCACTTGGTTTTTGGTAGAACCAGAAGGTAAATCTGCTGTAATACCAGATTTTACAAGCAGCTGGCAGAAAGTGGGTTGACTGTTACAGCACCTGATGGCAGGTAGCTGAAAGGAATTGGCAATTCTTTCAGTTCTGCCTACTTACAAACTCTAGATACAGCAGGAATAGAGTAGGTAAAATTAGATTTAAACTTAAAAAAATCCCTACATTTTCAAGTAACACAACTGCCAAGAATCCCTTACTTCCCCAAGAATAAAATATCAAAAAGTAGAATTAGCTCACACTTATGTTGTAAATACTATAATGCAAATTTAAAAGTTACTATAATTACATCTGATAATGAAATAAAGTTTAGTACTTGTTAGTCTCATGGCACCTAGCAGAAACGAGACTTTCAATAAGCACAAAATAATACACACTGACCACTAGTGAACAGTACAAATAAATACCAATGAACTCAAAATAGTTTGCTTTATTCGTTAAAGAAGCACAAGGTCTGAGATTTCTCTCCATATAAATGCCTGAATATAAAAGAATACCACTTATACAGTGATTTATACAGTTAGGTATTCGTAAAATGAAATTTTGTAATTCAAAATAAGAATTACATTAACATGACACAAATGCTTTTGGTAAAATGATTCATAAAATTTGAGAAAAAATGTCGTACCTACACTCCCATATGCAATGTGTATCTGTTTACATCTAAAGTAAGATGGTTCTGAGATATATTCTTGAAATACATTTTTTTCTTGTGAGAACACTCAGAGATCACTACAAGCTTTAAAAAGATATAGTTTTCAAAAAAAATGATTGACACTATTCTTTAGCCTTTCCATCATGGTTAATCCTACTCAGAAAACAAAGATTACACAAGCAGAGTACAATCATTCTCTTTACAACTACAGAAAGTATCTAATTATTATCAGTTGAGCTAGAACAGATTACTTACAGGAGACAAGCTGATTTAGGAAAAACATAAAACACTAAAGAGACTTAGGAATGAACAATGATGCACACATCTGTTCAACAAATTAGTGGTTACCTACCAGGTAGAAAGCACCATACTAGGTACAGTAAGAGAAACAAGAAGTAAAACATTCCATCACTATTTACAAACTTAAGACCACTGTACAATAAGCCTTAGAAAACAACATAAGAAATTACAAGGCAATATATGCTTAAACATCAAATCAGCAATTTAAACAGTAAGATCTGAGGAGAGATTGCATCCAATTCTTGTGAAGGCACTTCAACCCCATGTACTTAGTGTAGTTTTTACTACAGGAAGTCAAGCAGATTCTTGAAATTACCATAATTTCAAAAAAGTAGCAGCACTGGGGTGGCAGCATCTCACTATTCAGCCCCTTCAGCTAGAGAACGGGGAAAAGGAATAATCAGGTAGGAAATTAGACTAAATGACCACTAAGGTCACTTTCTTACGTCTACAGTTCTTTCTTGATTTAAGAATACACAAAATCTGAAATACAATGGAGTAAAATGTGTGAAAACTGAAACTCATAAAGCACTGAACTGTTGTCTAAGGCAACAGTTTTCAAACTCTGATGAACATCTAAATTCATCTAATAACATCCAAAGGACTGAATAATTTGTTAATTACATAGATGCCTATCTACCGTCTCAAACCTTTGGAATCAGAACCTATAAATGTGCAGTCAGGGCAGCATTTGTATTTTGAGCAGCTCCTCAGGTGTTCTGATGCACAGTGTGAGAATTAAATGTGATATAACTAAGTACACAATCTTCAGTGGCAAGGAAACCTGGGTTCAAATGCCTGTTCTAATACTTACTAGCACTGTAACCACCAACTACCTCCCTAACACTATTTCTAATCCATAAAAAGGGGGAAATGCCACCCACATATCATGTGGTTGTTCAGAGGATTAAAGATGATGACACATAAAATGTTTAACACAATTCCTGGCACATTTAGTAAGCACTGAATTCATTCATTCATTCATTCATTCACTCATTCAACAAACATTTATTAAGCACTTACACAGTATCAGATGAGAAACATCTCATTAATTTATTAAATATTAATAAATATGGCAACTCTGCAATGGTGTCATGTGAACACATAATTATGAGACTCTACCTTAACCAGGAAAGTCTTCCCTGAACCAGGAAAGTCTTCCCTGAACTGGATGAAAAGGAAAAGAAGCGCACTTCCAAGCAGAGGAAGCATCGTAACCAAAAGCCATGTACCTGAAGCAGAACAGAAAGAACAAGGTGACTAGGGGAGAAAGGAATGCCAGAAACCACTGTGGAGATGAGGTTCAAAAGGCAACTGGGAGGCCAAACAGGTTGTTAAGGATGTTAGTTTCTCTTAAAAAACAATGGAAACCACTGAAGGGTTTTAAACATGAAGACAATGTGATTAGATCTGCATTCTGAAACAGTCACTCAGTCTGGTGTGGAAAACTACAGAGCAGGCCACAGAAAATACAAGTAGACCATAATGAGGAAGCTGGTTATACCTCAGATAAGAGATGATGATGGCTGGAATGAGAGTACTAGTAGTGACGATGAAGAGTGGACATATTCAAGAAGCCAAATTAACAGGACATCAAGAGAGAGTGATATGAGTCATGAGAGACAGGAAGATGTCCTACTCCTACAAAAAAGGGATGGATGATGAAGCTAGTCACTGAGTTAAACACAGTAAGAGGACCTATTTTGGGGGGACGGGGGTAAATAATGAATTTCAAACATGTGAGTTGGATAGGTATTCCTAATGATAATTGATTTGTTCAGAAGTATTCTATGATACATGTCTGTTTCTGTTGCATGTTTACGGATCTTAGAAGACTAGGTTTCAGCATGTGTGTAAAGTGGATCTGAAAAGAATGAAGGTCCTTACCTTCCATTAGGTTCCTTTCCTTGACAACAATCCTCCAAAAGTTTCTTTTACGACTAGTTTAAAAATGACAAACCATATTTAAACTTTAAAATTAATATTTTTATATTAAAGAATAAGACAAATGCCAAACCAAAAAAAAAAAAAAAAGCCTGTAAAGAAGGAAGCTTCAAGTACCTGACTTTCAAGCCATTACCAGAATACAACTGGCTTTTAAAGTGACAGGCAGGTCTGGAGCATTTTCGTTAGACTATGTTAATTTTCCGGAATGGAGAGGGATGCAAACGCTACTTTAAAAAATTATTATTCACAGAATCCAAATTGTAAAAAAAAAAAAAAAAAAAAAAAAAAAAAAAAAAAAAAGTCATCATACAAATAATTCCTGAATTTGATCTACAAAAAACTAGTTTGCACTTACAATTTTAAGTCACTATTGACACGGCACTTTTAAGTGGCTCGAATGCAGTGTCTCACGAAGACTGTCATAAGGGCTGACCTGACAGTACTGGTATGTATTCAGTCGGATCCCAAGAAGTTTTTGCAAGCTTTACGGATCTAAACCTTCCTCCACCCTTTCTCTCCCGCTTAGAAAAAGAAGAGTGAGGGAGCCACCGAGGGGAGTGTTAGTCTTCGCAAAACACCTGCCCCACCCACCTCACCCACAATAACCTTCCGTTCCAGAACTAGAGCTACTGTCTGAAAAGGACGCCGGGCCGTAGGGCGCTGTTTGGTAACTCAGGTAATGAGGTGCAGACCTCAGAACTGACTGGAGCGGTCTCACCCAGTCGCGGAGTAGTATCCAATTTCCCAAAAGGGAACCAAGATATCCACCACGAAAACCCGAGCTCCAAGGCCTGAAAGAGGGTTCTCCCTCCCACAGATGGCTCCGGCCCCGGTCTCCCGTCGCCTCAAGGCCTCTTCGGGGAACTCGGGCCTCTCGGATCCCCTCCCCGGAGCTCGCCAGTCCCCCAGCTCTGCTACACACGGGCGTCCACCTTCCCGGCCCGCAGCCGGCAGGCCCGTCACCAGGCAACAGTCACCAGCTCCAAGGGCCTTGGGAGGCCTACCCCGGGTGCGGGTCCTTCCCCGTTCCCTCCTTGCTGGCCTACAGAGCCCAGATGGGAGTGTGGCAGGTGAAGGAGATCGCCCTGTGCCCGTGGGCGGTCACTCACCTCTTCCCTCTTTCCCGGGAGGGGCGGTGCTGGGGCTCGTTTCCCCCGCCCCCCCAAACGCTTCCTGGCTGCCCCTGCTCAGCCTCAGAGCCTTGCCGCGGCCGCCGGCTTACTCCATAGCCTTCTCCACCCGCGCGGCCTCAAAGGCTGGAGCCGGAGGAGGGAAGGGGGAGGGGAGGGGAGGGACTGGGGAGGAAGAGTACGGGAGGGGGAAGAAGACCGAAAGACCGGCCGGCCAGGGCATGACGTCACTTCCGTCAGGCTTGGAGGGGCGGGGCCTACGCTCCCTGGGCCCCGCCCACCGAGTGCCAGGTGGGGGCGGTGTTACGAGCTAGGGGAGGAACCCGAGCGCTAGCTGACGGCGGTCCTTTTGACTCCGCGATTCCGTAGCCTTGGCAGCCGGAGTAGGCTTCCGGGGCCAGGACCGAGCGAGCAGAGTTTCGTTAGCCCTAAAGGTGGCTTCTGCCGGAAAAGGAGGACAGGTAGCCCTATAGATCCTAACCAAATATGTTCTGAAGGGAACGGCAGCTGAGAGGAGCGGGTGGTTTGGACTTGCCTCCCTTTCCTGACCCCGCTCCTTTCTCAGCCCACCTGCTGTCTGGTCCGCGGTAAAGAATCTCTCGCTATTCGGCTTTTTCCGGAGCTACTCTGCCCAAGGTGTCCACGAAAGCAGTGCTTCACAAACATGAATATGCACACGAATCATCTGGGGACTTTGTTAAAATGTAGTTTGGATTCAGGGATTGGGTCTGATACTCCGCATATCTAGTAAATTCCCAGATGACGCCAATGCTGCTGCTGGTCAGCAGGCTGCACTCAGAACAACAAAGGATTAAAGTACGAGGTGGCAGGCAGGAGAATTATTTCCTTAACCTAGACTACTTATTTAATGAAAGTTAGAGAAGCAAATGGCCACACCCTTGTCTGCACCGATCATAGACTCCTAGCCTTTTCCACCCACTGCACCCTACCCCCGTCCCTACTCGCCCATCACTCCCTGGTCCCCTCTTCCTCTAATTCCTCCCTTTCCACTATTCACCCTCTATCCCCTACTCCTGTCCCCGCATTGTCCACAGGGTCTTGGGCTAATATTTCAAGGATAGACAGCTTCTGTTACTAAAGGCATTTGAAGGTGATGGACTTTTATTTCTGTCATTTTGTCATAAACATCAGACTATTATGCAAAATTGGGCATCCTGTTTCCAAAGGAGGAGAGAGCTTAAATTCTTGGATTCTAACAACAAAAGACCTAGAAACAACAATCTAGATGTTTCAACTTATTCCATTATCATTCTTAAAATTGTTTAATTAAAAATTTGCTGGGGTAGGGGCGCTGGGGTGGCTCATTCGGTTAAGCGTCTGACTTCACCTCAGGTCATGATCTGGTGGTTCAAGCCCTGCTTCCGGTTTTGTGCTGACAGCTCAGAGCCGGAGCCTTCTTCCATTTCTGTGTCTCCCACTCTCTCTGCCCCTCCCCCGCTCGTACTCTGTCTCTCTCAAAAATAAATAAAACATTAAAAATTTTAAAACAAAAGAAAGTTATTTTGAAATTTTTACTGGGGTAGAGAGGAATGAGGAGTGACTGCTAAGGTCTGAGGGTTTTTTTTTGAAGTGATGAAATGATCTGGATTTAGATAATAGTGATGTTGCACAACTGTGTGAGTGTACTGAAAAACCATTGAATTGTGCATTTTAAAAGGGTGGATTTTGGGGTGCCTGGCTGGCTCCGTTGGTAGAGTACATGACTCTTGATCAGGGGGTCGTGAGTACACCGATGTTGGGCATTAGCGCCTACTAAAAGATAATAATAGGGGCGCCTGGGTGGCGCAGTCGGTTAAGCTTCCGATTTCAGCCAGGTCACGATCTCGCGGTCCATGAGTTCGAGCCCCGCGTAGGGCTCTGGGCTGATGGCTCAGAACCTGGAGCCTGTTTCCGATTCTGTGTCTCCCTCTCTCTCTGCTCCTCCCCCGTTCATGCTCTCTCTCTGTCCCAAAAATAAATAAACGTTGAAAAAAACATAATAATTAAAAAATAAAAGAAATAAAGGTGAATTTTGTGGTATGTGAGTTTATCTCAATGAAAAATTTTACTGTCTCCAATTAATTGAAAAAAGTATGTATATTATTTAAAAGCCCACAAATAAATAGAATAAAAAGTGAACAACCTTTTTCATTATAAACCTACTTCCCAAAGGTTAATAGTTTGAAGGTTAGCCTTCTATACCTTTCTATGTATTTACATATACTTGTATGTAATTCAAGAATTCATTTATATATAACTAAGATGATGGTATACACATTCTCCAAAAAAACTACCAAGTTTTTTTGGTTTTGTTTTGTTTTTTCTATTTAATGAAATCTTTCCATGCTATAAATCTCATTCTTCCAAACTGGCTGTTAAATATTCCACAGTGAGGCTATGACATAATTTATTTAAATGTTCCCCAGGTGATGGACATTTTTATTGTTTTCAGGTTTCCGTTATTTCTCACAAACTTTTTTCTTACAGATCAACTGGCAGATAAATCAATTAGTTTTATTCAGCTGCTTGCCCTAGATCTCTTTCATGAAGGGCTTGCCATTGGTCAAAAAAGGCAAAAAGAAAAAGAAAAGAGCCTCATGAAGCCACAGGTCTGTCATAATTAAGACTCCAATGTGTGTGTGCATTCCTTTTAAATATTTTCTTAAAAAAGTATTATTCAGGGGCGCCTGGGTGGCTCAGTCAGTTAGGCGTCTGACTTCGGCTCGGGTCATGATCTCACAGCTCATGAGTTGGAGCCCCGCATCAGGCTCTGTGCTGACAGCTCAGAGCCTGGAGCCTGCTTTGTATTCTGTGTCTCCCTCTCTTTCTGCCCCTCCCCCACTTGTGCTCTGTCTCTCTCTGTCTCTCAAAAATGAATAAATGTAAAAAAAAAATTAAAAAGTATTCTTCAAGATTAAGTATAGCTAGTCATCATGTAATATTAAGGCTATATAAATTCACATAATAATGCATTTGATATCAGTAAAGCAAGTTCCTAGATTTACTCTGTTTTTATTAGCAGACAAACATGGTGCAGGGTTAGTAAATAAATTATGGTTTACATAGGATGGGAGAAGAAACAAGAGAGACACTGGCAATAGATATGCCACACAAAAGCATAAGGTTGTCAAAACTGGGAAACTTACATATTTTTGTGTAATCTAAATTGTAAGAAACCTGTTTATTCATTTTTTTCTTTTCTTTTCAGGATGCTCTAGTCCTTTCAAGCTACTCAGCTATGGGATGATATTATTCACTCCCTTCAGACTCAGGTGGAAATAAAAAAAGAAGCATCATCAATGAACATACAAGAACTGTTTTACTGGCTCTGATGCTGTTGATGTAGCATCAAGTCATCTTATGCAAAACATGTGCTTAAGTAGTAATGACACCTCTCCTCTTTTTTTTTTTTTTAATTTTTTTTCAACGTTTTTTATTTATTTTGGGACAGAGAGAGACAGAGCATGAACGGGGAAGGGGCAGAGAGAGAGGGAGACACAGAATCGGAAACAGGCTCCAGGCTCTGAGCCATCAGCCCAGAGCCCGACGCGGGGCTCGAACTCACGGACCACGAGATCGTGACCTGGCTGAAGTCGGACGCTTAACCGACTGCACCACCCAGGCACCCCGACACCTCTCCTCTTAAAGGAGTTTGTCTTTGCCAAGTTCTAACGAATCATCAAGTACTTGAACCAGTAGGAATGAAGCTACTGAAAAATGAAAAGGAATTCTAATTTGAAGATTAAAACAGTAGTCCCGACAAGTTTCTAGGCAATAAATTATCATATATATATATATATTTTTGCAAAAGAAAAAAGCATGCTGGGAATGGGTTAACTGATGAAATAAGAGCAAAGAAATATTTAAGGTTAGTGTTAACCAAAATACTATAATATATTGTATTTAGACTCTGACAGAACAGTCTTCATTGAGCTAAACTTAAATGTTATACTTTCCATTTTATTCAGAATCCAGTAAAAGAAAAGCTGTGTAGAAATTAATCTATGTCCATGTCTGCTCTAAAACTTCTGTGGAAGACATTACCACATAATTTTTTTCAGAATTTATGGAAGGAAAAACTTTTACCTTCTTTGATGAATTGTATGCTTTATAATTTTGAAACATGACTTAGCCAAAGTAAAAAGAGCCAACAGTATGTGGGAGCTCAGAACAAAAGTTTTCTATTCAATCATTGCAAAAATGTTAACTTTACATTTAGCATATATTCTTTCTCTTTATTTACAACCCTACTTGGTCCTCTTTTGGTGATATGCTATTATCTAATCAATGTATTACTTGTGTTTTTTATTGTTATCCCCATGAAATCCTTTGTGAAAATAGGGAATGTCTAAATAAGTTTCAGTAAGTTAAAACATATATTTGAAATTTTGATCCCTTATACAATATAATAGAAAAGTCCACATATTATTTCTTAACAGACCAGGAGATGAAATGATTTGGAATCCTATAACACAAGAATTGAGGAACTTGGGGCATCTGGGTGGCTCCATTAGTTGAGCATCCAACTCTTGATTTTGGTTCAGGTCATGATCCCAGGGTTGTGGGATTGAGACCAGCACCAGGCTCTGAGCTAAGTGTGGAGCCTGCTTATGATTCTCTCACTCTCTCTCTCTCTCTTTTTCTCTGCACCACCTCCATCCTCTCTCAAATTAAAAAAAATAAAATAAAATAAATAATTGAGAAATTATCCATACAGTAAGTGGAAATGTGGTTATACCTCCAAATATCACAAACCTGTGACAAACCTGTTCTCTCACTTTCAAAAGAAGGTAATTTCATTTTTCATAATTTTTTTCAGGAAGAACTGATATTTTAATTATTTTTTTAAGAACAGTTTCAGGGGCGCCTGGGTGGCTCAGTCGGTTGGGCGTCCGACTTCGGCTCAGGTCATGATCTCACGGTTCATGCGTTCGAGCCCCGCATCGGGCTCTGTGCTGACAGCTCAGAGCCTGGAGCCTGCTTCAGATTCTGTGTCTCCCTCTCTCTCTGACCCTCCCCCGTT